GTGATTTGGAATAGAAACATCCTTGGCGGCGTCGTTACAACACTGCTTTTCAATTACTGATTTAATTTGCCACGTCCCTGGCGAGGAAGCATTGTAATCGCGAAAAACAAAATAAAAATGAGATGTCTTTTGGATGTGACATAGCATGTACACCTACATCATCACGAAAACTATTTCACTCATTTCCGTCGGTCTATCTGACTGTCTATTCGCTAATCCATCAACACTCTATAACTTGCAAAGTACCGCTGGATTTTGATGGAATTTTGACACAAGGTTACTATTATGTCAAGAACGAACAAGCTTTGAAAATTATGTAAAAATCGTTGAAACTGAGTTTTTTCACGAATATGTTATATGCTAATATAGTTTTCTGCAGCGCTATCTATGAGATACAAACATTTTCAAAGTAGATTTCTAATTGGTACGTAGAGGAGAAACATAGCTGTGACAAATTCTGGTAGATGACACTACGGTATCATTTCAACTCGGATAATTTTTTGAACGCGAGAACATAGTGTTGATCGACGATAAAACAAAAAGTAGAGGCCCTAGGACATATCGTTGAGTAACTCCTTTATCAGCATCCAAATTATCTGACTATGACGTATTATGAATTACAACGTATTACTTCGACTATCAAGATAACATTCAATTAGATCTCTACATTTTGATGAGAAGTTCAGATACCTCAGTTTAGCAATGAAATTATGATCAAGGTCAAGTACCTCTTTATAATCCTATAATAATGCAGTTCATCAAGCAGCATCCGAATGTTACAAATAAAAAATCATCCTATGTGCTTTTCGCAAGTAAACCTATTCCCTGGCCTATGATAACGTGCTGTTCTTATGTTTTCCACGACACGGACCGGCAGCTGTCACCCAGCTGCTTGCCTCGATTATAATAGGCAGGCTAAAAGAATGGGCGGCTTCTTTAATGGCCGCCATCTTGGGTCGGGGTCAGGCGGGTCTTAGTGATACCGAGAATAGGGTTAAGAATTGAGAAGCAGCATGCAATTCTAAGAAGTATTACACTTACGTCTGTTTCAGTTCAAGGCCAAGTCGTATCAATCATAACATTGACCGCTCCAAGAGATTTACAAATAATTGGTATGAGAACGTTCAAGCCTCTAGATTCTAGTTTACTATTGTAGAAGCTACAATATAGACAATAGGAATGGAGTAACTACTGAGAATTGTCTTGCAAAGATTGTCCATAGAAGTATTATGAGCAAATATGTGATGACCTGCACTGATAGCAGGTAGTACCGACTCACAAGTGTTGGAAATTCAAAACGAGATTGATCAATGCTAGGTTTTCATTTAATACTTATGGGCATATCTGTCAGCAACAATAGATTTAATTATTGCCATGGCGAAGGATCACTAATAAAATCCAAGGATAATTTCAATATCTAAACCCAGCTGATCGAATAGAAAAAAGTGTCGCCGAACCAGAATTCTGGACTCTGAGCCCATCTATGTAGGGGCCTTGGCCCACAGCAATCTCTGCGGCTGAAGGAGTTCCAAGGCAGAGGGAAATCGGTTGCCCCATTTAGCCGTTGGGAAAAAATGACGGGTGGGGGCTATTCAGTCATTGGTTTTTGTGGCCTTCGGGGGCCCCCATCAAGCCAGAGCGCCGGCCCCATGGGCTCGTAGGGTTAAGATGGATTCGGTTGATATGGAGTTAAAGGATCATGTGTTGCGATGGTACACCCGACTGCCTATTCGTTAGAGAAATCCTCAGTTGTCGTTGTGATGAAGTAGCGATATGCTACTTGTCTCTGTCCAAACTGCCCACTTGTATTGCGATGGGTCAGTGTCGGTTAAGGAAGCGTACTCATAATACATCGTGGTGGACAGGAAGTTCAGCAACAAAGCAAAAATAACTTCTGAACGAGTAGGGAGCATTGGCCTTGTATGGCTATCTTAAGGAAAACTGCTGGGTTGTATCAGCTTTTCCAATACTGAGGCGGATGATGTTCCAGTCCGCGGGTCATTGTATGAAGACCCCAAAGGGGTCTTGAAGGCTTCGTATCTTAGATACTAAACAAAAAAGGGAACAAGAATAAAGTAGTATTAAAGTAAAGACGAAAAAGAGGCTGTACGTACGTACAAGCATATTTGCTTGTTTGAATGGAAGCGCATCTGGCCCGGCACATGTACCGCAACATTTGGTAGACTTCCAGAGCGTCTGGCACATATTACGCAACATCTTGCAAAGTGAAATATCCGCAGCGCAAGTTGCGTCGTAGCCACATTATGTTGCAGACATGTTACAGAGCAAAACTGAAATGGATAATATGTAACTTTAGTACAAAATGCCTATATTATTTTCAAAATTAAGATTGATTGACCTTTGAGGTTATGTAAGATGGATCAACTCTCTCTTTTATTGCTTGAGGTATGCACACGTGCCACCGAAATTTACTGGATCGCGTTATGCAAAATTCATTTTGCCAATTTCATAACGAAGTGTCACATAAGTAAACAATAAACAGCAAATAATTAATTGGCAATACAGGAAAATACCTCGGTATTTGCATAACAAACAAAATAAGCTTATCGGCACATCATTAGCAGACAGCAAAAAATATAGAGGTGGATTATTGCAAGCGAGTCATAAAACTAAACACCTGTTTTCTGTTATCACTTGTCAGCTCATGATTTTATGCTCATAAAGAGCGAATTATTATGCCGCAGTTTTTTGCCTATACAGGCTGATACAGAAACACTGGCAATTTTGAGGCAAAAAGACGTCTAAACATAACAAGTAACTTCTTATATTGTTTTAAAATGCTTTTTTACCGAAAGTTATATCATTAACGAAATCTATAAAAAGAGGTTATGTAGATATTTTGGAAAATATATATATATATATATATATATATATATATATATATACACGGTGGCGCATCGAAAACGAACGCGAAACACGCATTTACTGGCAGCTCAGTTTTTTTTTGAAAAACGCTCAGACCCGTCGATTTTGTTTTCGAGGGGGGCACAAGTTTGGCAAAAAATCACGTTAGCACGTGCAGCCCCCTAAGCGGGGGTGACACCACCCCCAAAATCTTAAATGGAAAGGGGGGTCGAGTGATACCTTATTTTAAAGGTCTTTCAATTCCCTTTATAATGATATAAAATTAATGTCAGTTCAGTAGTTTTGAAGATTTATTGATTTAAACCTTAAATAAAACTAATACTTCATCATTAGTGGGGATCAATACATTTGGCAGCAAAGTAATTTAAAAATGAAGAATGAACTGACCCGTTAGGCAAGTAAATGTTGATAATGGCCACCATGACTCTCCATGCAAAGAGAGAGAGAGAATAAAGATTTTGGTCAAAATATTGCCACACATTTTGCAATATTTCAGGAGTAATTTGAAGGCTAAATGAGTGCCAATTCTTTGTCGCAGGTCTTCTAATGATGTTGGCTGAGTAGCATAGATTTTGCTGTTTAAATGACCCCACATAAAGAAATCCAAAGGTGATAAATCTGGCGATCTTGGGGGCCATTCAATGGCACCTCTTCTAAAAATCCATCGATCTGTAAAGGTTTGATCTATCTCTATCTAATATTGTCGTAATGCGTAATATGGTGGGGCACCATCCTGTTGGAACATCAACCTATTCGCAATGTACCGCCGATCATTCTGATTTTCAATTATGGCTGTTAATGCATTATCTATGGCGTCTTCCAGTAATTCCAAATACATTTCACCAGTCAAAATTTCCAGGTAAGAAAAAAGGACCAACTAAATGATTGCCAAAAATATCAGCCCAAACATTTATTTTTTGTGGCTGCTGTGTATGAACCTCATGATAAATTCTGGGATTAGAATCGGACCAATATCGGCAGTTATTACGATTTACTACGCCATTTAAGAAAAAGGAACATTCGTCAGAAAAGCAAGAATTTGTAGATCCTTTGGGCTTGAAGTGGCTATAACTGGCCGCTTGGTTGTGGTTAGATGTCTCCTCGAAAATTCGAGGTCTTCTAGCTATTTGATACTACAATATGTAGGTTGGCTCTTGTTGTGTACTATACATCGTGTGTCTTTTTTCCCTCTCCATTTTCGTTTCCCCACGTTACACCCGTATCCGTATATATGGGCATGTGTATCTACTTTTGTAGTTGCATATGTGCATTCATTTCGGGCCTGATGAAGCCAACCAGCAGAAATACGTGTCGCTCGGGTTACCTATCCTATTTTCTGCTCGAATCCACTTTCCTCCTTTTTACGGATTTTGCCCATTATTTTCCAACTTTTTGTTATATACCTTTCTCCGCATGATCATTTTCTCTCTCTCTCTATATATATATATATATACTAAGTGACATATAAATCCGAACACCCAGTTTAAATGGTTTTATTTTAATAAAAGTTGGTGAATGTATTTATCTTACTGTAAATAACAAGAGAAAAAATTTTCAGCCTTATCAGTTGGACATTCCGGTTTTTATACTGCTTTTTTTTAATTCACTAACGCTCTAAACATGAATATTTCAGCCGCAGTAAAGAATCAACGTTGGCGGATTTTGGTTCTTGACATCCTTTACGATCGGTTACGATGCCTAGAGTACGGAGACCTGTATGATTTCGTCAACTGAGTGAGTTTGATAGGGGCCGTATAGTGGGACTTCGGGAAGCTGGACTTTCTTTTCGGGCAATTGCAGTTAGAGTGCAAAGAAGTGTAGACACTGTGGTAAGGTGTTGTCAGGCATGGCTTCGAGAAGGCCGTACGCAAAGAGCAAGGGGCACTGGACGCCGCCGTAGAACAACAGATCGTGAAGATCGCCGCCTAAGATTATTGGCCTTAAGGGACCGTTTCTCCACTACCAGGTCCATTGCAAATGAATGGTTTGCAGAACACGGAAGACCTATTGGCATGCGAGGTGTTTACCGACGAATGAGAAGTTTTGGCTTGTTTTCATACCGGCCACACTGGGTCCTCCCTTTAACTCGAGAACACCGACGTAATCGCCTTGAGTGGTGCAGACAACGGTCACTCTGGGATCAGGAATGGAACAGTATTGTCTTTAGTGACGAGTCTCGATTTTGTTTAGGCATGCACGATGGTCGTGCCAGGGTTAGAAGGCGACGTGGTGAAAGGAGTAATCCACAGTTTTTTGTTGAAAGACATGTTCATCACAATGTTGGAGTTATGGTTTGGGGTGCTTTAGCTTATGGTTCCAGGTCACCTTTAATCTTCATCAGAGGTAAGAGTAAGAGTCACAATAGACTCCTTTCAACATAATGATGTCACATTGTTACCATGGCCACCAAGATCTCCGACTTATCCCCAATTGAGCACGTGTGAGATATGATGGGTAGGAGATTGCTCAATTTGCAACGTCCTCCTCAGACTCTAGAAGCACTTCGAGAGGAGTTGGTGGTTGCCTGGAATGAGATACCACAGGAGGACATTGACCACCTGATCAGAAGCATGCCTAGGCGCGTTGGAGAATGCGTAGCACATCAGGGTGCATCCACACATGATTAAAGGTCAAAGGGCTTCAAAGCAGTGCAATCATTTTAAAATTTTTGTCATTTACTTATTATGCTTCATTAAGTACTTATACAAAATTTTATTAAAATAAAACCATTTAAACTGGGTGTTCGGATTTATATGTCACTTAGTATATAATTTGTAGCAATCCTAAAATTTCGTTATAATATGAGTTTGAATTTGTTCCACCGAAATTGTCAAATATGATATTGTAGGTACCTTCACCTCATCATAATCTCATTGATTAACATTCATGTTTTGCCTTTTATCAGTACGAACAGTAGTATATATATAGATATATATATATATATATATATATATATATATATATATATATATATATATATATGACAGCCTGAATCTCGCCAGACATTCCAGGCCCTATAATTATAAAAACTTTCACTGTTATTTTTCGAGATGACTTTTTTCGAAACATTTCCACTTCCTTTCAAGTCACCCTACAGGTGGTTTTGGCATAGCAACTGTATGTACATATCTTTGAACTGAGCTGTTTTCCCAGCACTCTACAAAGAAATCCATTTGTTCATTGGATAAATATTTCTTTGATATACGTTCTCTATCCCAAGTACCAGTGATCTCCAATCGTCGCTATAATAGCTTTATGTTCTTGAAGCAAGATATATTATATTTTTTGTGTGTAAATAAATAAAATTGCTCCATGTATGTCGCTTTACATAATCTAAAACCAGTAATCGTTGTTGCTATCGCGGTAAAAGTTAATTTACATTTCGTGCAACAATATGATATGCAAAATAACGTCAGCACTTGCACTACTGCTATTTGCATATAATACATTAACTCTGCCTTCGTTAAGACATGAGCTAAGTTTGTTTTCTAGTTAATGACACATCGTACACTGCGTTGACTGTCTATTTATCCTTCTGTACTTCCGTTATGAGATAAACACAACTGTTCGTCATTAAGTGATCTATAAAATGTATATCAATACGTTCCATTTTTCAATCTATGATTATAATAATACGTAATATTGTGCTATTTTTTCACTTATTGATGCTGCAGATGTTGAAAATTAATCGTGGTATTTCATTCAAGGTATGCAGGGTGACAAAAAAACAAGGGGTAAAAATTTAAAAGTCGATTTTTGCTTGTTGCGTGTCAACTTTATAGAGATGAATAAATACCATTTGATAATAGCAAATATGTATCACAAGTTACTTAATCGGCAAAATTCAAGATGATGTCTACAGCTAGAGAGTAAGGTTCCAGTCTTAAGGATACCAGGCTCATATTTTGTTTTACATCAAGGAGTTAAGATGTCCCCATATGAAAGGAGCTCGAAGATCCTCTTCGACCCGCCCAACAATTTTCGTGCTTTCTGTTAAAAATTTGAGAACAAAAATGGTGAAGTTCCTGGATATTGCTTAATAAGTAACACACAGATGTATTTGGAAAATTGTGTCAGTCTCTGATGAGAAGATCGGAACTTAGGATTAAGATATGCGCCCATTTTACACAGCTTTTTGATGTTTAATAAGCTTTTCTATAACATTGCTGATAATTTTTTTTTCATTCTTGCATCGAAATGATCACTCCTTGCATTCTGACTTATTTTCTGTACCTCTTGAATTTACTTTTGATTCCAGGAGCATCGTTGCTAAATGATAGTAAGGCTTAGTTCTTTAGTAACTTTCAGTAAAAACTGCTAGTAAAGAACATGATTTCGTACTCTTCAACTTTCTTATCATCATTTCATGAACTTAAATAGACATTTTCAGAAAAATTAACTTGGTTCATACAAATGCAAAAACATGTTGATTGCTCATTTATAAATGTAGGATAATGAATGGAAATACATTTAGAAAAAAATAATACGCCTTACTTTCGTCACAAGTCTCCTTTCCAGTTGGTGTAACGAAATACTATGCAGTTCCTTTTAATAAAGCAATGCCCACATGATTTGCATGTCGAATCAGCTGGTAGCCTGTACGGAGGAGACATAATAGCCGAACGGTCTATGCTAATAAGCGATATGATTCATTGAGATACACCCACTGCACTTCGAGTGTTGATTTTTACAGGATTATATTAAATAGGTCGTTTCCCGTTGTATTTTTTCTGTGAATAGTAATGAATCATGTTTTGCAAGGGGATTTCTAGAGATTTTGATTAAATATCTTCAGTTATCGGAGTTCAATAGTGGGAACAAATAACTATTTTTGTCATTACGCTCTTTGAGTTCTCATAGCTTCCTAGCGCTATTCCTTAGTTCTCACAGTACCGATAGCTTTAAACAGCATGTTCGCTGAATAATATACATGTACCTGAGAACAGAATTTTGCAAATGCTATGTTTATGAGTATATAAGAAAGACGTCCTGTTATAACGATTTGTTTATACAGGGGTTTCTTGAACATTCTAATACTATTTTATACTTTCACAACAACTTCACTCTGGTGGCTCCTACATTTTTAACAGAAGCATATGGAGATCGTTAGATATGTATGTTTCACTTCGCTTCAATAACAGCCTACTCGATTTCTGGGCACTCTTCGACTCCCTGGATCAAGAGATTCAAGCCTTCCATTCGGATGCAGTTACTATATTGACTAATTTTTGTAGGTTAAACTTCAACATAAAACCTATATTTTTCAGAATAAGTTGTCTTTTCGAAAAATGTCAAAGATAAAGAAAGGAATCGTTCCTTACAATTTCTCCAGTTGTTTATGAAACACCCTGTTTAAGTCTGTTTTCTATTGTATGACTCTTTAAGGGATTTGTAGTGACGTGGTTTTTTTGCAGAATTCTTTTAAAAACACTACTCACGAATTAACTTAAAACATTAACAAGAAAATGTCAGATTCGTACTCCAGGAAAAATAGTTTTCTTAGTTGTTGATGATGATTAAATGATCTTTGGTGTTCATTTTATCATGAAACTAAAAATAATATAATTAGAATCGTATAATGAATTAATGTGTGCAACTGAAGCAAAATAACCACGCATCAAAATAATGTATTTTTCTACTTCTTGGCAACACCATAAATCCCAAAAATGTGTCTTGTGTTCTCCAAGCGTGACCTTTGAGAAAGATATTGACATTACAGCTCATTTATACACGCGATTTGTGTCGCCCGACAATGTCGAGTGATCCCATTTAGAGAAGAGACGGATATCGAACACTACCCATGTTTACACCTTGGCTTACTATAACCATTGGTTAACCTGCTCTATCAGAAGATAGCCAAACCACTACTGAATTACGACATCCATGAAGGGATATGAAATATACTACAGTATATTCAGATAAGAGATAGACCGGACATAAACAAGACCACGTGATCATCGAACGCTGTAACATTCGGCAGGGACGTATTAAGAGTCACGCAGTACATATTTTAGATAGTAGATGCTGCTTTGCGTAACTTTGTAGTAAATTAGCACAATTCGATGTGTATACGATTGGTGATGGATATAGGATCATGTGGGGGTGGGGTAAGAAATATATAATGATGTAAATATACATAAGGGTTTCAAAATTTTCGCTTCGATTTCCAGCTTCGGATGCCGCCTGATGTTTGGTGAAATACAGGTGAATATAATCTCAAAATGGCGTTTAAATTAGCCTAAATTAAAAATAATCGTATATCTCTTAAAATTGCTTTTAGAATATTGATTAGTATATTTTTTGATTTCTAGGTAAATATGTAACCAAATTAAAACGTTCAAAACGTAAAAAAATGTGCTTGGCTGAACATTGTCAGAAAGTAGATTCTTGAATAGGTTTTGCCAAAATGGGTTCAAAAATGTCAATAATTAATTAAAAAATACAGTAGCTTCATAATTACTTATAACTTACCGAATTTGATGAACGACATCTTTTATTGGAAAGATGAGCTTGATGAGCTTTCATCATCGCTACTGCCTGAAGCACCAACGTCAATAATGACGACTTGTTCCTCTAAAATATTGTCCAGTTCCCACATTCTCTTTTCAACTTTGTCTTTCACGTGCTTAATACAGTTTTCCCATTTTTGCGCTGTTATTAATTCTAGTGCTTCTTTGAAAAGTCCTTTGAGGTCACAAAATTTAAAAGTTGTATTGTGCTTAGCTATACAATTTTTAACCTCTGCCCATATGAGCTCAATGGGATTGAGCTCGCAATGGTATGGAGGTAAACGGAGCACAGTTTTATTTTGACGTGCTGCCATTTCGTCAATGGCGTATTTTTGATATTCCGCCTCGTGATCCTTGACAATTCTTAATAATTGTACTTTCAGCATTGCTTCTTCAAAGTTGATATTTTTCGAGCGGAGCCAATTTTGAACATCATTTTTCCTTGAAGCCGTTGTTGGGACCTTCTCCATTCTTCGAGAATGATAAGGCGCATTATCCAACACAATTACTGCGTTTTCCTCTAAGTTCGGTAAAATTTTTGAAAACCACTGTTCAAACGATTCGCCATTCATTTCCTCGTGGTAATCTTCAGTTTTCTTAGACTCAAAGCACCACAGACCGTCAACAACAAATCCATCCTCACTGCCAATATGGCAGATAATGAGCCTTTTCCCTTTACCTGGAAATCGAAGTACTAACTGGTGTAGATTTATTTCAATAAGCGAACCTTTTTCAAATGTTTTCATCACATTCAGCGAAAAAACATTGAGACATGAGTATCAGATTGCTATAATTGGGATTATTTAGTCATATTGAAAGAAAGAATATTGAACGTCGTATGATTACTCAGCGCTTCACAATTTAATTTAAAGTTATAAACCTTTAAAAAATGAATGATCAGGAACCTGAAATACGCGCAAATATTAATATTAACAAATTATAACTTTATAAAGCTTAAAGTATGAATTAAAATGATTAGAAATATTAGGAACGGTACACAATATAAAACTTAGTAACTTTTTTTAAGTTTATAATATTCGACATATTTTAAGATTATATTAAAAAATTATTGACATATCGAAAACACATAAAAACATGGCTTAAAAAAGTTCTAACAA